TTGTGCCATCACTTCCAGGTTCTGGGAGTGTATTTGAATATTAATTGCAATAATATATTAAGCATCCCTTTCAGCCTTTGGTTACCTCTGAATATGACAGCCAAAATACTAATAAAATGTTGAACAGAACAGACCTAAAAATAGAGTTCTGGCATTCCATTTGCTCCATTGCAACAATTGAAATCCACTGTACACACTAGGAATAAAATAAATGAATGAGTGAGTGATTCATTTCCTTTGGAACATGCCTGTTCAGTCAACCAGGAAGGTATCTACTTACGCTCTCATCCACCCCACCTTTCTCCATCCCGGAAACCCTGAGGATGTCAGGGTTGGGCCAGTTTTTTATATTCAACCTAAGTGAAGTGCCTTCTGCCAGCATACCACGTGGATCTTCTCGTTCAGTAATACAACAGAGCAGAAAGGAAATGGGCATGTCAGAACTTACAGAATCCGTGTCACGTCCTAGTGACCTTCCCCATCACATCCAGGTTGTCCTGTCTGCTAAATTGTCAGAAGGTTGTCCAGAGCTGCTGCCAGCTCACCAGTCAGTGTGCCGCCATCTTTAAAACTGTATCCGCGCCTCCGTTGTGCACAGACGTGCATGCCAGGCAGTCGTGGGCTTCACTCAAACAGAGAGACTCTCAGGGTCGGGAGTGCTGGGCAGAGCAACCCAGTTGATCGCCACGACCTTGGAATGCAGGTTTTAGGACCGTGTGTGTCCACTTGTAGGAGCGTCCCCCACTCAGAGTGGCCGGTTGCGGTTTACAGGACTTGGAGTCAGTACGGATACATTCCCACATCTCAGCACAGAAGCATCTTGTTTTCTGGTCACTTCTGAAACTGTCTAACTCCATGGTCATGGGGAAAACATTTTTGTGTTAGAGCAAAGATAGGTGTGCCTTCCTTTGCTAAAAAGTTTGTTTTTCTTTCTGGAGAGGATTGAGTCCCACGTAAAATCTATGATAATAGCCTTTTTAAAGTGGGTTTTTCTGTACTTCTTGAAGCTAGAAAGAACCAGAAGAAAAGGAGTGTCTGTTGTCAGAACCATGCTGGTCTTAGTGACACCAAAGGAAATGGCCGAGCTGCGCCTCGGTGATTGACAGGTGCGGGTCCCCAAGGCTCCATCAGTTCTCTTTCCATGCAGCCCCCAGTCTGGTTTCCGTGGGAAAGAGGTCAGCGATGTTTACTGTGCTTAGGGAAACGAGCACAGTAAGAATGAGTAGGAAACGTAATCTTATACCTGAGTTTCTTGCTGTGCCTGTGAATGAATTATCTGGGGATCTGGTTAAAATACAGGTCCTGCCTCTGGAGGCCTGGGTGGGGCCTGAAGGTCAGCGTTTCTACAGCTGCTGGGGGGCGTGGTGCTGCTGGTCTGAGGACAAAACTTGGAATGCGAGGCCTTCAACCTCTGAGCTAAATATTAAAACGCTGGGAGAGAGATGGATATAAATGCAGATATAAGGATGCTGAAGATGAATGTACTCAGGCCAGTGATTGTCAAACAAACCGTCTGTAGTAAACCCTGAATGAATCTGTCTCAATTCATCTGTTACCTCCCCCTCCACTTTTGCTTTTCTACTAATAATGTTTAAACAATGTGATCTGCATTGGGGGTTCTTTTGTAACTTTGCATTTATGTACTCTAGTGTGGCTTCATGTTTCGAAGAAATCTTTCTGTTGTGGCAGGAACATCCAGAGGTGACCTCCTCCTGGGGCCCAGCTGGACTGCCCTAAGAAGGCAGTCGGGGACACAGTCCATTTGTCTGCAGCTGGAAAGAGGCCCTAAAAGCAGAAATACCCCTCCATTCTTCTTCTCTTCTTCCTTGTCCCTTTCTCTCTCCCTTCCTTTTCCCTACTGTACTTTTTCACCTTGATCACGCACCTCTTCCTTGTTTTCAATGCCATGAATAATTATCCAGTGTACCAGGGCCATCGTGGCATACTGTGGCTCCCTCTGGTGGTTCACTGAAAAGATAGCAAGACACCATCCCTACCCTCAGAGATCCCCCTAATAGGAGATAGAGACAATACAGAGAGAGAATGGTGCAGTCTCAGAATTGGAGCCTCTTCTCCTCCAAGATGCACTGGTAATAGGAGACATGGTCCTACAGGTGGGGGGAGGATGGGTTGAATTTTTTATCCCTCTGGTTCTTTTTGTTCCAATTCTGTCTTAATCTTTGTATCCTTGATTTATCATTATTATTATCTGGAAAAGATGTTTACCAATGGATAACTTTTAAAAAACATATATGTGAGTTTGTTTGTCCAGGCCAAGTCTTAGTGGTCCATTAGCAGAAGACCGGTCATAGAGTCTATACAGAGAATCTTTAGAAACAACTAAGTCAGCGTCTCTACCTAAACAATGTCTATAAACCAAGACACTACTGAGAATCAAGTCAGCCTTTTTCAAGCTGTATTCTTTAAAAAGTACCTTCAAAGAGGTTTTCGAGGTTTGGATATTGTGCATTCAGTTGTATGGGCAGTTTTACATTTGCATTGCTAATGGACCTCTTTCTGAATGTGTTTGACATTTTGCTTGGCTTTGAAAGGACTTTTCTGCTGCTGCTTTTTCTTCCCTGAAGCTGCCTTGGGCTAATTAACCTATTCCCTTACTGGCTGGGCCTACTGTATGCAAATGTTCTCATTCCAGATTCTGACACACCACTCTTGCGAAAAAAAACTTAATGAAATCCTGTGGTGTTATATATCAGATCGGTGCCGTGGAGCCAGCAGGGGGCGTATGAACCCTTTGGGTTTAAGCAGACAGCCCATGTAACTTTTCTTTGCTCTTTGGTGTGGGAATGAGGGAGCTCCTACAGTTCTCTTTCTTAAGGGTGACTCTTGAAATCTATAGATAAAAGATCATTATCAGTAATTTTTGAGCAACCAAAAGGAGCAACTATTTTGATGCTTTGTAGTTTAATATTATTCTGTCACTTTGAAAATAGTACTGTCATTTTAGTTGATTTGCAAGTATGTTATGTGGTACACTGTTTATAAGAGAAGACCATGAAGAATATAGTTACCCAGGACTTTAAAAAGCTGTATAGGTTGGAAGGGTAAATAACTGACATTGCTCTTTTAACCCAGATATTTCTTCAGCATTACTATTTTCGTTTTTTTGGTTTTTGTTTCTGTCCCAGTCTTTCAAGTGCCTCTCATCATCTGAGAAACCCTATTATTATTGAAATGTCCTTCGATTTTGAGATGCCAAGCCTCCGCCTTCAGTACCTGCCTGATCACAGTCATTGCGGCTGGGGAACTTCATCTTGTATCTGTACTTTTGTTGTGTGGTCATCAGGGATAGTAACGCAGAACCAACAAGGACCACTGAGTCACTGAGAAAAAAATAGAGGTCAGGGTGGGGAGTGCCCGCTGTGTAGGAGAGAAGTGGGAGATGCTGGTGTTGGCGGGCGGCGGGACGATAGGGGGAGAAAAATGGCTGGTACAATAGGGATGTGGCCGGTGCTTAAGATAGACAAGGATCAGATGGCTGCAGGCGGCTGCCTTACTGTGCTTGTTTTAAAATCAGATCGTAGAAAAAAGGGTCCAGGTAGAAGGACCGCTGAAACCCCTGGGTCTGTAATTCATACAGCCCCCCCTCACTGCTTCTGAGGATCCCAGCACACGCGCAGCATTGCGCCTGTCTGCAGCCTGTTTGCAGCCGAGACTTGCACGGGGAGGAGAGCTCGTATCTGCCGCTCATTAGGCTGGTTCCTGTAGGTTCAGCTGATGTTCAGCCTCTGGCCAGGTGGCCATCTGTTTGCACACACAGTCGTGGTGACTGGGAATGCAGCAGTTTCTGAGAGACTGAGATATGCATCCATGAGTTGATGGTGGGCTGGCTCTTTCCAAGGAGAAAGGTGGTGGGGGTGAAGAGGAAATTCAAAGGCCACTTGGAAAGAGTCAGGAATGTGCAAGTGTGTAAATATCATAAAGGAAACCTTCAGTGCATCTGCCTGATTATCACAGTTTTTTAAATCCTCACCTGAGAATATGTTTGTTGGTTTTAGAGAGAGAGGAAAGGAGAAAAAGAGAGACAGACATCTGTGTGATAGAGAAACATCAATTCGTTGCCTCCCATACACGCCCAACCAGGGATCAAACCCACAGCCCAGGTATGTGCCCTGAGCAGGGATTGAACCTGCAACCTTTTGGTGCACAGGACGATGCTCCAACCGACTGAGCCACCCAGCCAGGGCCCTATTACCACATTTTTAAAAATACTGTAACCTTATTTGTTTTTTAACTATCTCAACAGATTTCTTTGGGTTTTCGGTTTACCGTATGAGTAGCTGTACTGGGAATTCTCTGGCAACTTATAGAGAACAGGATTATTCTGGCCGCCTCTGCTGAGGGTGTGTGTGTGTGTGAGAGAGAGAGAGAGATAGGGAAGAGAGAATTGCTGCAAAGTTAGGATGGACTCCGGGGGTCAGGTGGCGTCTTTGAGTGGTGGCTCTGCCAGACCGGGTTGCAGAGATAAAGGGCGAAGCGGCCAGATTAGGGCTGCCGCTCCTCACCTGCTCCTCCTGGAGCCTGGCTCTGAGGGCAGGGCAGGGGTGTCCTTCGCCGATGCCATCCTCCCTGTGGCTTCATTTGATTTGCCAGCAAGGTAAAGAAGAGGTGAGGGATGGGACCCGCACTTCTTGAAAAGGAAACTTAAGAAACACATTGTCTAGCCTTCTAATAAGAAAAGAGAGAAAAGGGACAGAATGCATTGAGAAACGTGTCTTAGAGGAACTGTTCACTTCACAAAAAGGCATCTGCTTTAAGTTTTGACTTGCGTGACATTGTAAGTAATCTTCTTGATACGCTGACCTGTTTTCATGCTGGGGCGAGAATCAGGTTTTCAGAGTTCACAGTGAAGCCAAAGCCTAGTCTTACTTAGTCTTGCCAAGGACGTTCCTTTCCGGTGCTGATTATCTTGATTTCTGTTCCTTCTCTTCCTTTCTCTCCCCCTTCCTCTTCCCCTGTCACCACCCTCTTCCTTTTCCCAGATTCCAGAGCTGCGGCCGGCCGATCGCACCCAAGGGGAGATGATTCCTCATGAAGAGCCTGGATCCCCCACAGAAATCAAATGTGACTTTCCGTTTATCAGACTAAAATCAGAGTCCGGCAAACAGTGAAACAGTCACCGTGGAGGGGGGACGGCGAAAAATGAAATCCAACCAAGAGCGGAGCAACGAATGCCTGCCTCCCAAGAAGCGCGAGATCCCCGCCACCAGCCGGCCTTCGGAGGAGAAGGCCACAGTCCTGCCCAGCGACAACCACCGGGCAGAGGGCGTGGCATGGCTCCCGGGCAACCCTGGCGGCCGCGGTCTCGGGGGCGGGAGGCAGGGCCCCGCAGGCACGTCGGTGGAACTCGGTTTACAACAGGGAATAGGTTTACACAAAGCGCTGTCCACAGGGCTGGACTACTCCCCACCCAGCGCACCCAGGTCTGTGCCGGCGACCACCACGCTGCCCACGGTGTACCCTCCCCCACAGTCAGGGACTCCGGTGTCGCCCGTGCAGTACGCTCACCTGCCGCACACTTTCCAGTTCATTGGGTCATCCCAGTACAGCGGTCCCTACGCAGGGTTTATCCCTCCGCAGCTGATCTCCCCGTCGGCCAGCCCCGCCACCAGTGCAGTGGCCTCCGCCGGGGGCGCCGCCACTCCATCCCAGCGCTCCCAGCTGGAGGCCTATTCCACTCTGCTGGCCAACATGGGCAGTCTGAGCCAAGCCTCAGGACACAAGGCTGAGCAGCAGCAGCAGCACTTAGGCAGGACTCCAGGGCTCATGGCACCAGGGTCCCCACCACCCACCCAGCAGAACCAGTACGTCCACATCGCCAGCTCTCCGCAGAACGCGGGGCGCACGGCCTCTCCTCCGGCCATCCCCGTCCACCTCCACCCCCACCCCCACCAGACGATGATCCCACACACGATCACCCTGGGGCCCTCCCCCCAGGTCGTAGTGCAATACACCGACTCCGGCAGCCACTTCGTCACCCGGGAGGCCACCAAGAAAGCCGAGAGCAGCAGGCTGCAGCAGGCCATGCAGGCCAAGGAGATCCTGAACGGGGAGATGGAGAAGGGCCGGAGGTACGGGGCCCCCACCTCGGCCGAGCTGGGCCTGGTGAAGGCCAGCAGCAAGTCGGCGCCTCACCCCTACGAGTCCAGGCACGTGGTTGTGCACCCCAGCCCCACCGACTATGGCGGTCGAGACCCCGCAGGCATCCGGGCGTCTGTGATGGTCCTGCCCAACAGCAGCACCCCAGTCTCCGACCTGGAAGCGCAGCAGGCCGCGCACCGCGAGGCCTCCCCCTCCGCCCTCAATGACAAAAGTGGCCTGCATTTAGGGAAGCCCGGGCACCGATCCTACGCACTCTCGCCCCAACAGGCCCTGGGCCCCGACGGCGTGAAGGCCGCCACTGTCGCCACACTGTCATCCCACACGGTCATCCAGACCACACATAGCGCTTCGGAGCCACTCCCAGTTGGACTGCCAGCCACAGCCTTCTACACGGGGACTCAGCCGCCCGTCATCGGCTACGTGAGCGGCCAGCAGCAAGCGATCACCTATGCGGGCAGCCTGCCCCAGCACCTGGTCATCCCGGGCACCCAGCCCCTGCTCATCCCGGTTGGCGGTGCTGACGTGGAAGGGTCGGGGGCAGCCTCTGCGATCGCCACGTCGTCGCCCCAGTTTGCAGCAGTGCCTCACACGTTTGTCACCACCCCCCTTCCCAAGAGCGAGAGCTTCAGCCCGGAGGCCCTGGTCACCCAGGCCGCCTACCCGGCCATGGTGCAGGCGCAGATCCACCTGCCCGTGGTGCAGTCAGTGGCCTCCCCGGCGGCAGCTCCCCCGACGCTGCCCCCCTACTTCATGAAAGGCTCCATTATCCAGTTGGCCAACGGGGAGCTGAAGAAGGTGGAGGACTTGAAAACGGAAGACTTCATCCAGAGCGCCGAGATCAGCAACGACCTGAAGATCGACTCCAGCACCGTGGAGAGGATCGAGGACGGCCACGGCCCTGGCGTCGCTGTGATCCAGTTCGCCGTGGGGGAGCACCGGGCACAGGTAACGTTGGCCCAGGCCACACAGACGGCGCCACCGCACCACACCCCCACGCCGTTTCCTGGCAAGACCAAGCCTTCCAGGAGGCAGGCCTGTCCATGCTGTGGGGCAAAGTAAAAGTTTCCACTTACACCTAGACTCCGAGTCTTCCCTAAGAGAATGACGCACCAGTGCCCCCAGACATCTGCTGTTTGCACCTAGAGCGAGGCTAGCCAGGTACCACCCTCAGGACAATTTCTGAAAGTCACCACTCAAGCTGTGTTGTTTTTGTCCTGTGGTTCAGATAGAGACCTGATTGAGAAAGGCAGCAGCAGCATTTGAGGCCCTGCTAGAGGCCATTCTGCCCCTTTTCTCTGTGTGAGGAAGACATTGCTGGTTGGGTAAAGACGTTAGATGTCCAGGCTCACCACATCTCCTACCAACATCTGCGTTTTAAAATGCCAGCTTTATTATTGTTCGGGCAAGGCCAACAGATGAGAAGATACTGGCCATTGAACTCATAGCTTCTTACATTCAGCCCGCAAGAGGGTACATGCCGCAGGGGTGACACAGGGAAGCCCTGGGGTGGGGAGGCGGAGGGAGTGGTGGGCAGGAGCCTTTCCTGGGGTTCTTGCAGGGAGGAACGGATGAGAAAGGGGAAGCAGGACTGGCAAGTTTGAATAACTTCAGTGGGCTTGCTCTCAAGTTGTCTGGTACCTGCTGCCAGATGACCAGGGCAGATGGGCAGTAGCCCGGAGTCTGAGAGCTGGGCGGAGGGCGTGGCTGGGCATGTGGGTGGGTGGGCAGTTTGTGTATAGAGGGCTCTCTCTCAGGAGGGTCGGTTGCTATCTGTAGGAATTCACTGACCCTGAGGGGGCAGTCCCTCCAAAGCCAGCGAGGCCCCCAGATGTCAGAGCATCGGCACACAGAAAACAAAAGGCATGGTTAACAAATCCGAGAGGTCAGGCTGTGCCAGGTGCTCTGCTGGGCTCCTTCAGTCCACCCTGTTCCAGGCTCTCAAGTCTCTTGAATGCCTTGACTCCACAGCCCATTGATGTGAAACAGCAACCACACTGCCCAGGCTGCTGAAGTCACACAGGTCAGGCCCCGTGGGAGCTCCCCTGGGAATGTGTCCATCAGGGACCTTGAAACTCTATGTATGATGGTGCCTCCTTCGGGTTTGAGCTGAAAAGGGTCATGGCTTTTAGCTGATAGTTGAGACATTCACAGAAAATAAAACAAACCCCAAAAGACAAATTAGTAAGTGGTTTGAGTTGTCTTAAGTATATTTTTAAAAGATCAAATAAGGTGGATGGGAGGCCAGTTTTCCAAGGTGTTTTCTTGGCGCTGCCTGTGCATGACGTGGTATGGGATCTCGCACGGCAGTGGGGGGTCTGCCTTCCCAGGGGCTTTTGGTCCCAAACACCCTCCTTTTCAATGGTGGGGTGTCACCGTAGGTCTAGACTCTCTGGCAGGGCCTAAGAAGGATATCTTAAAGTTCTGATTGGAAAAAGAGCAAAAGTCAAGATTTTTTAAAATGGCATCATTGTTTAGAACTCACTACCCAGCTGTAGTTGCTGTTCACTCCAACCTTCCTTTGTGGATTGGGGTGGGTCCTGGAAGGAAAACAAAACAAGTTTTCTTCGGCACAGTTGTCTTTTAGAAGACCCCAGGGGAAGCACGGAGAATAAACAACAATGGAAAGTAAGTGCTTTTTTCCTAGTAGGTTTTTTCATTCTTAAAGCGTTAGTATGCACAGAGGCCAGCATGGGAATAGGTGTGATTTTGAAACGCTACTGGTTCCTGACCAGCATCTCTTGCAACCTGGGCGTAGAGAGCGGCTCTGGCTTCAGGCTGCGTCTCGAGGCCCCGGCAGCCTCTCCGGCCTGAGCTCACAGGCCTCTTCAGGTTTCAGGTGGACCTGGCAGGTCTTAGAGAGAAAGCAAGCATCTCTCTGTGCCTTTCCTGCTTGGTGCTTTGCAGAGTGAATGCTTAAGTGACAGAGAAATTGGCTTCCAGGCCAAGCCTCATTTCCTTCCCATAGCCAGACCACTAGTCTCTTTGCTGACAGCCAAGGTGCAAATTAGAAGGTAGAGTAGCTCTGTCACAGCCTGTCAGGACGGCCCCGTGTGGTCCAGCTGCGTGCTGGGAAGGGCTTCTGCAAAGGATGGCAAGAGGGATGTCGTGGAAACAAAGTGCAAGTCCCCAACATGGCCAGTGATTTGTCACTTTACCGAGAAGCCTATGAGAAAGAGGCTGACATCATCACAGCGAAAATACTCCACCAGCTGTGTTTGGCACGAGTGACAGGAGCGGAATCGGCAGAGAATCAGGGAGAGAAGGCAGAGAGGACCAATCGTCTGGATGTGAGTCACGTTCCGGGGACGGAGTGCTGCACTCTGCGTCCCTGTCACTGTGAGAACCTTCTCCCCGGCCTGAAGAATCAGTCCCTGTCTTCCCAACTGGCCAGAAATCACTAACACTTACAGCCACAGGGAGATTAGAAATGTGCAAATTGTTTAACTTCATTAGCTGAATCACAGATTTGATCAGGGAAGTTGTGGGAGCGGAGCTGGCTTTCCCACAACAGCTGGCCTTGCGACCTTGGGCACAAATTCTGTGTGGCTGGAGAGCCACCGGGAAGCCTGACCTCACACAACCCAGTGGGCACCCCAGTGAAGGCTGAGCGGTGTGCAGACAGCCATGAGCCTGGGAGCTGGTCAGCTGCAGGACCAGTTGCTTTTTCTCTCAGAGTTGCCATTTTTCTCATCTCAAAACAAGCAGATGACTCCATACACCTGGTAACACCATGGGCCTCCTTGTTTTGACATCCTTTGCTGTCCTTCCTGCCTTGCAGAGCATCACTTGTGAACTTCACCTGCATCGGCTACCAAAACTGGGGGGAGGGTGCATAAAGGGAACCTCTGCTGGCCTGGTGCTAATGTTCCACATGTAGGCCTGGTGGGAACTAAAGCCAGTCTCCATGAAACTGAGGGGTGTTGTCTTTTGGGGTTTTGGTGATTATTTTTAAGGAGCTGAATTTCTGATTATTATTGTAGAAAGAAGCCTCCAAGGGTGCTTCCAGCTGAAGCCCCAGATGAGGCATTGTAGGAGAAAACTACTTCCACATACTCATCACTATCCCTGGGTTGGATATCACCATCCATGGCATACTCAACGTGGCATTTCTGTGCAGCCGAGCTCCCCCACCCGGGGGGCTGTGGGAAAGGAAGAGGATCCCAGCGACTGTCCCTTACAACTGTGTGCTCCACACCAGCCTCTCTGGGCCACGCTGCAGTCTTCTTCCTCTTCCAGTGAAGGACAGGTGGCATGTTCCACCCGGGTGGGGGAGTCTCTGCTTCTGCTGTGCCTCCCTCTCAGCCTTGGAGAGTCTAGTGGACATTCCCAAGGGACAGTAGAATTCACATCCCTTGGGGCCTCACTCCTAAATATAATCCCCTCAGTATTCTCTAAGTTTGAGTTCCTAAGTCTGCAGAGAGTCCCAGAGGGGATCCCGGGCAGTAGCATGAACAGGGGACCAGTGTGACTCAGTAAGAGTGTGTGGCATCACCCACTGGGGCGGGAAGCAGATCTACTGGTAGGAAAATGCAGGACTGGGAGCCAAAAAGACTGAATCTGTCTCCACCGCTCCGCTCCAAAGCACTGGGCCCTCATACACACCATTTACAAATTACTGCACTAATAATTTATCATGTAAATTACAATATCTAAGCCTTCCATTCTTGGTTACATAAAGGAAGTAATGGGGGCTGCTGTAAGAATGAAAGAAAATACATTCAAAGGAACCAGCGCAATATGTCGCACATAGTAGGCCCTCAACGGAGTGAGTTTCCCTTCCCTGCTTTACTTAGGTGACTTTGGCCCTGAGAAGGACACAGTTAGCTTCTGAACAGTAAATAAAAGGCTCTGTGCTCTAAAGAGAGTTTATGGAAGGAGAGACAGTTTAGAAAAGCCTGGAAAGAAGGCTGGACTCGTGCAGCCAGCGCAGCGAGCCGTCTCCCCCACTGCTTCCTGTGGCGCGTCCCCATGAATGGCCCGGGAGCACCCATACAACCACTTACGTGCGTGGCATACACACGTGTGGTTTTCCGAGCTCGTGCTGCACTGCAGGGATGCCTTGGTGGCCCAGCCGCCCACGTCAGTAAGAGGAGCCTGGCAGAGGCTCAGTCCCCCTGCAGTGTGGCTGCTGGGAGTGTCCCAGCCAGGAGGGCCCCGCCCGGGGGGGGGGGTTGGGCCTTCGGCTCCACTATCTGGGAGCAGCCTCCCACCCCTGTGTCTCATGCTTTCCAGGCATCAGCTTTTCTGAAGAGGACACAAAATTGGCTCAGAAGAATTATAGTAAATTTTCCTTGCAAAGTGCTCCGGGCTGACACTTTCCTTGGACTGCTTCTTTCCTAACTGCCGAGCTCCTTATGTTCGTAGAACTGTCTGTCGCTTCCTAGACCCTGCTGGGGCGATTGCTTCCCTTTACTGCCTTGGTGACTGCTTAATATTCAGTGCCACCTCCTTCTCCCAGCTCTGGGGGGGGGTGGGGAGGTCTGCACGCTCACTCGTACAGCACGTTATAATGATGTGCTTACTGCACGTTTACCCATGGCTTTTCTTTCATTCCACTATTTTTTAATTTGACTGCTATATTCTGTGAGTCATCAGTGGCAGCATTATGCAGTTAATGGATTAGCTGGTGCCTAAAAATAGCCGAAGCCCTCATGCAAGCAGCGCATAAGCCTGTACAGTCCCTTAGCAGCCAAGGCAAAGCGACGTGCCAATATCTCACATGCGGAGCCTGGTAGAAACGAGTCTTAATGGATCGGAAAAGCGGTAGTAGTCCCGGCCAGGTGGCTCAGTTGTTTGGAGCATCGTTCCTTACACCAAATGGTTGCAGGTTCAATTCCCGGTCAGGGTGCACACCTAGCTTGTGGGTGCATACAGGGAGCAACCAATTGTAACTCCTCTCTCTCTCCCTGCCCACCTGCCTCTTTGTGTAAAAAATTAATGAATAT